GATCCGAGACACGAGCAAAGAAAGGGAAGCGGCAGAGCATCGTTTAAAAACTAACGAAGTGAACTGATATTTTTAGTATTCATCTGACAATGACGGCTGTGACACCGACAAAGCGCGGGATAGTGGACGAGCTGCATAAACCCGCTCGCCGGAACTATCCGCGGAGGAAAGTTGATATCCATGGATTGCACGATCTTTGGCAAGCCGATCTGGTAGAGATGATCCCGTACGCGACTATGAACCGAGGATACAAGTATTTGCTCACGGTCATTGATTGCTGCTCGAAATTTGCGTGGGCGGAACCGTTGAAATCGAAAAGTGGCAAGGATGTCACGGAGGCGATGAGACGGGTGCTGTCTCGAGCGAGAAAAGCGCCCAAAAATCTCCAGGTCGACCAAGGCAGCGAATTCTATAATTATCAATTCGAGGCATTGTTACGAGAGCATGGAACGAGATTGTACAGCTCTTATTCAACTAAGAAAGCTTCGATCATCGAACGCTTCAATCGCACGCTCAAGACGAAAATGTGGAAGCATTTTAGCCTACAGGGCTCCTACAAGTGGTTGGATCTCCTTAAAACGCTGCTGCACGAGTATAATCATAGTGTTCACCGAACGATTGGCATGAGACCTGCGGAAGTGGAGGAACGTCACGAAAAGTTGATTTTACACCGTCTCTCAACATCGACGTCACCCAGAGATCAACAAGGATCGATGCAGCGACGTCGACAACTCAAAGAAGGCGATCTGGTCCGGCTCAGCAAGCAGAAGGCTCTCTTCGACAAAGGCTACACGCCCAACTGGGGAACTGAAATCTTCAAGGTCGCACGTGTGCAACCAACTCGCCCGGTGACGTACATTTTAGAGGATTTGAAGGGAATCCCTATAAAGGGCGGATTCTATGCCGAGGAGGTTCAAAAAACGAAATATCCCGACTCTTACCTAGTGGAAAAAGTATTGCGGAAAAGCAAGGGAAAGGCCTTCGTCAAGTGGCTCGGCTTTGATTCTTCCCACAACAGCTGGATAAATACCACAGATATCGTATGAGGTACCCAGTCACGTCGTTATCCTTCTCAGAGTCTGACGTCAAAAAAAATTAATGAAAATGGCGTCTGCATGTTCTATCATCATCTTACCTGTCTTACCGTTTTTGACTCTGCTGGCGAGCAGTTACGCAACTCCAATTGTTTCGAACCGTACAATTGAGAGCACACTATCGCACCTCATCCCATGCGCAAACTCTACTCGAGACGTTGAGAGGATCGAAAAATGGATCGCTTCAGTTCAACGAACCATTCATGGTACCCCGACGGATCCGTCATACATGTGCGAAGAAGAATGGCTGTCCTGCCTCCTGGCTCCGTCGGATACTCTTCCTGAAGATACTTTCCCCATCCGTTTACTCATTAAAAGCCTAAATCTGTGTTCGGAGACATCAGTCACTGTCTTATCGTCTACGAGCGACGTCTCTTTTCACAGTATCATTCTGATAGCTTTCGCTCTCTTGAACTTAACCGCCATTTCTAGTGGACTTTGGATCTACGCATACCGCTCCGAGTGCAAAGTAGGCCTGAGAAACAATGCCAAACAATGAAAATGACTACATCACTCAGTTGCTGACTTCTATTGTAAATTTCAAGCGCAAATACTACAACCAGCTGTGTAACAGCGATAAAATGCGACTACGTTTATGGAGGACGAAACTTCAAGATCTGGAGGGTGTACCTTCCTACGGAGGCCATCTTGTCATCTGCCCGTTCTCTTCAGCCGAGTTATCACCGGACAATGACGGTCCCGACACATGCGTCTGCAACGTACCCGCCTTGATTGAATGGAAGTTTGATCGCTTAGTTAAGGAATATGGTATTCAAACCTTGTAAATTCATATTTTCCCGCCATTTTTTGTCAGGGATGACACTCTTTGGAATTCATCCTTTCCACAAAAATTCGTTGTATAATGGACAAGTTTCACAGAGGCTTCATGCCGAAGGTAACTCTGGATTTTGCAGCGTACTGTAACGTAACATTCTCCCTTATATTCTATTATTAGTTTATTCTCACGCGAATTCATCGCTGCTCTGTATTCACTCAAAGTTTTGTAACCTATTCTCTAGGTACTCTCTTCAGAATTAATAAAATATATAACCTCCAACTCTAGTATTTTTATTATCCCGACGTTCCTCCTCTGGATGGGGGCCTGGGGAGGGGAGGGGGCGGGGCAGGGGGAGGAGGAGAGGGGGGGAGAGGAGAGGAGAGAAAAGTTTATGAGGACAAAGAAAAATAAGAAGTATGTGAAATGGCTGGGCTTCGATTCCTCGCACAACGGCTGGATAAATATCAAGGATATAGCCTAAACGTCACAGTTGTGAATTGAATTTCTTCTGAGTGACACGCGGAAATCTATGAGATTTGATTGTCAAGGTAGCGTGGCAATATGAATTTTTTGCGGTGGTCGGATGGCTCATGGAAGCTGTTTTTTATCCTAGCATTCGTCGCGATGAGTGACGAGGCACCGACAGTTTCTAATGGAACACTAGAACAAGGTCTTGGTAGACTTTTCATGTGCTCCAAAACCCCACTTGACGTTGATAAGATTGAAAAATGGATGAACTCGGTTCATCGATACATTAACGAAAACCAGATGGATCCATCTCACATATGCGAAGAAAAATGGCTGACATGCCTCTTGGACGTATCAAAAACACTTCCCAAGGACAGTTTTGTTTTTCGTCTGCTGATAAAACATCTTAATTTATGTTCTGACGCATCAGTTGATGAGTCAGCGACTGAAAGTACAGTCTCCTTGCAAAACATTCTTCTCGTCGTTATCGCTCTCCTTTTCAACGTGATAGCGGTCTCAAGCGGATTCTGGATCTACATTTACCGGTCAGATTGCAGGCTACGTCTCAGGAATGATGCCAAACAGTGAAAAGGATTACGTCACACAGTTAGTGACTTCGATCATCAATGTCAAGCGAACATGTTACAACGGGCTATGGAAAGAGGAAAAACGAGGCCCCGTTTGTGGACATGGAGACGTCAAGAAATCGAAGTAGTACCAACGGGAGACGACCGTTTTGTGATCTGCCCGTTCTGATGTCTAGAATCTTTACCGGACGTATCTGGACCTGACCCCCCATCTGTAACATCCCGGAGCTAACTCAGTGTAAATTTCAGTTGCTTGTGTCCAAATATGGAATGCCTTGATTTCAAAAAAATAAAGTGTTCAAATATAGACCACGAGTTCTTTACTTACATTTCCTTCCATTTATGAAAGGGGAGGGGGAGGGGTGGNCGGGCACTCCGGTGCGCGGGCGCTGGATGACTCATAGGCCAAAAATTTGGACGTAAGAGAGAGGCCCGTTGTAGGTGGAAGTTCAGCGGGCTCCAGTGGCGACGCGGAAAGCGTTGTGAGTTTCATTCGGCCGATTTCAGCCGTGAGGAAAGGAACGGTTAGAACATGGACTTGCTCGAGGAGCTAAAGCGCTGGAATCAGCCAGAGAGGTAAGAAATCCCAACGAAGGTAAATATGCATCTTCCATAAGACGCCTTGATACACGGGAAAGAACCGTCAAGGGCCGCAAATGATCGATTTATCGATATTTCCCAATTTGAAGCTAAGGTAAGGAATCGATTAAGGTGATTGTCGCAAACACTCTGATTATCGATCTTTTTCTATAGGTTTAAATGGCGGATCAACCGATGTATCGCAAAGCACACATCGCCACTGAAATACAGATGAAATTTTGAATCGACGCATCAAAGCACATAGTTCAAATCAAAAAACAACGCCCTGGTAGCATAAAAATCTCCTCTCACCCGTCCAGTAGCCGAAAAAACAGGGGCGATGCTGCCTCCGGCAGCGTCGCCGGTCTTTCCCACGAATAATAATCAGAGTAGTATGGAAAAAACACATGGATAAACGCTAATTTAAATTAAAACACCACAAATCACATTAATTTTGAAACAACTCATCCATAAACATTGTTTAGAGGAAAAATATCAGTTGAAAACTGAGAGCACTCACGGGGTTCATCCCAGCATAAAGTTGGACTGGAATAAATGAGACATTTTACGTGAACACTGACAACACTGATGAGTGCGCTTAAACCGGCATTTTTCCTCTACTTTCTTTATTAAATTTTTCAGAGAATTTTCTTTGTGATCAAACCTATATCATCCGAAAATTTCAGGAAGAGATATTCATAACTCTCCTCAAAAATACATGTTTTATAAGAGGAAATTTGGCAACTCTCGCATGTTCATACTGCGTTCTTCCTTAGCACAGCAGAATTGCTGAGCAACTTTTTGAGCACATAATTTGCCTGCTGATGACTGAAGTTTGACGAGTTGGGCACTTTGCCGGGCGCTGTGTTAGAAAATTAGGCTGGGTTTGCTTAACTCATTGATCAACGCTTCAATCATCATCATTCATCAACAGTCGTATCAACAGTAGTATGAGCGTTGACTTCCAATTATTACTTTCATAAAGGGAAGACAAAAGTGAGAGATCTCTGAAATATATTTTCCGCGATCACAATTTCAATGGAGATGTAGCATGTGCGAGGGCTTTGCGATTTGACCATTGTTTCTTATGTAAAAGTTTGCGAGAAACACAATGGTTTTCTCTGAAATCATCTCCCAAGCTCAAAAAAATCTCTCAAAGTGAGGCTAAAATGGAGGGGATATCCCACCCTACCCTGAGAGTCCACCTCTACATCAAAGCAAACTCTCCATGCAAAGATAGGGAGCAAATACATCTCCCTATCTTTGCATGGAGAGATTGTTTTGATGTGAAGGTGGACTCTCAGGATAGCTCGGGATATCCCCTCCATTTTGGCCTCACTTTGAGAGCTTCTTTTGAGCTTGGGAGTTGATTTCAGAGAAAACCAGTGGCACCATCGTGTTTCTCGCGACCTTTTACATAAGAATCAATGGTCAAATTGCAAATCCCTCACACGTGCAACATCTCCGTTTTAGAGTAAACACTGAGAGAATTACCCGGCTCATAGCCAACGATGACAGCGGCATGATTCAACATGTTTTCATCATTCGAGCAATCCACTGGATCGGCAACTTCTCTTTTGTAGTGCTGAAAAGGAAAGGAAGCTTCTCGTTTGAAAGCTGCGAATTCACAAATACATATAGGAAAAAGACCCTTTTGTTAGGGTTTCAACAGCATTAACAATATTAATGCGCAATGGTGAGAGTTGAAGCTAAATAAACCAGGTTCAAAAGAGAGGCAACATGTCGAACTTCGAGGTAAAAGTTATGTTTACAAACATAACACCCACTGGCTCAAAATTTTATATTTTTTACTTAATTACTTGTTTTATCTTTGTGTGAACTCGAACAACCCTGCCACGATTTCGGTATGACAAGCTTATAAAATTTAACTGAACCCAGGTTCTGCCTTCAACAACCTTGATCTTATTCATCTCCTTCCCCATAAAAATTTTCTAGACTAAAAAATTTAAAACAAAATCAAAGGCTTACCTACTATATAGCCTAAATAATATTTTCAAAAATCAATGATTGATTTTAATCAAGCAAAGGATCTCAGAAACTTACAAAATAAATATGAGTATAAAAAAAAAGTGTACTTCAGAAGTCTGACCCGAACTTGGGCAGTTGGACCTCAAGTTTTCGGATGCGTGATCCGAAAACTTCGGGTCCCATGCACGAGGTTTTTTTCTCCGTGCAACTTGACAGCCTCCCCTCTGGCTGTCTGACAATGAGTTGAGATTTCCTAATCCTACCTGCAGCTCCGGAGGAAAGTGCATGGCAGTGACGACAGGACTGGTGACCAAAGCTTTCTCGATGTCCTCGGGGTCAAGATGCTCCCAGCTGGCGATACGAGTAGGGGTCCCAATTATTGCAGTCGTATTGCACTCCTTGGCGTCCGCCCTGTAAGGGTAGTTCTTGCTCAGCGTCAACCCTTTCTCCACCAAATAGTCCAGCGGCGAGTTCAGATTCCCGTAAGCGCAACCTTTATTTTCCGTCACGCAATCGATCAGCTCTGAAACGTAACGCTAGGGAATCAGGTGCATAATCGGACTACATTTTGCAATTCGGAACTATAAATTCTAGTCCGGTTTAAAAGCAGCGTAAGTGCTATTAGTTTCCCCTATGTACATGAGTGTTTCTCCAGAAGAGCCAGAATTTATAGTTCCTAATTGCAAAATGCAGTCCACTTGGACCACATTTTGCAATAAAGAACCACTACAGTGCTAAGGAAGAACGTCATACGAACAGAGAGTTGCCGAATTTCTCCGAATAAAGCATGTATTTTTGAGGAGAGTTATGCATATTTCTCCGTGAAGGTTTCGGATATGTTCGATGAAGCTGCAAACAAAATTATCTGAAACATTCGGGGAAAAAATATTCAAAATTTTGCTAGTAAATTCGATTTTTAGTAAAGCAAATCTGGCAACATATAAAGGCTCATGCGGCGTTTTCCCTTAGCACAGCAGACTATACCTCTGCTGGCTTATTTTAGAAACAACATATATGCCATTGGTGTCCCTATCCCGAATGGCGCTTTTGTGGAAGAGCCATAGATAGTGGTCCTTATTGCAAAATTTAATCCATTTATTCATGAGGATAGAAAAGGGATAGACTGACAAATTAGTTTAAAAAGGCTAAAAATTGAAAATAATAATACCAGCGGACTGATTATTGAAATTTATAGATAAACCGATAGACAAAGGAGACATAGGGAGTATGGAGCGATCCTATTGGTTGACACAGATGCATGGTTGTTGTAGACTATAAGGAGGAAAATGATGGACTAATTTGTAAGTAAAGGGTCTTTTTCGAGAGTTGCCCTTGGTTAGTCTATAATTTCTCTTTTGTCCATTGCAATCTCCCGCTTCCACCAATAGGATCCCTTTGTTTATACTACTAATAAGTCCCCCTTATAGCGTTTTTGTGCGCTCTGTGACACTCAACCGCCACTGATAGCGATCCTGTCAGAGCTCCTCCCGCAGATCGCACTTTTCACTTTGTCTATCACTTTCAATGATCAGCTCACTGATAACGTGATTAACGGGTGTCTCTAGGACGTCATCAGCTGGAAAAAGCCGAAAATAGCCGGATTTTGGAAGCAACAGGTGGTTGACGTCGCTTTTTTGCTTTGTAACAGACGAAATATCAGGAAAGCCCCCAGGCAAATGCGCCAACGTATAGGAAGATGGATATCCCATGGTTCGTCCGAGAGAATATTTAGTTAAAATCTTGGAAACGAAAGAAGAATATACTGATTATTAAGTAGTTTGTTCGATCCAAAAGGTCTCTGGTCGCGAGTGAAAACTCTCTATCTATGAAATACCATAGACAATTAGTATCATTTTGAACGTTTCTTTTATTTTGAGTAACTTTACTTCCTATACACTATGGCATAACTGGATCGCATTTACGTAGCGAGAAGGAACCAGCGCGATTACAGTGTTGTGAAAACGTTGCTCCTTCATAATTTTCAAATAAATTTCCCAAAATAGCAAATAGTTTGTGTTTCCCACTAAAAAATTTTCACTTTTTTTCTCTTTTTTTTACTCCTTCAAATAGCCCACAAGGCCTATGCCATCGCTTTAGTCCCGTCCCCCCTCCGTCCCTGCAACCAGTCCCGGTCAACCATTGTTTGAGACCACCAAACTCGGGTCGCCTGACCGGGAATCGAACCCGGGACCTCTCGACATAGAGCTAGCGCTACGACCACTACACCATAGGAGGTCGACCAAGAAAAATGGTTGAGTATATTTTAATATTGACACATGTGAAGTATTTTTCAAAGAAAAGAAGAAGTTGCGCAATTTTGAAAACACTGGAATCGCGCTGATTCCTTTCTGCTAAATGCGCCAACTGATGCACTCACGTTTTTCGAAAATTACAGGAGGCTAAAACTGATGCACTTACGTTGTTTTGAAAATATAGCCTCAACCTTGCCCCTCTGATGTGCGACTGCCACATCCAAAGCTCCTCCGACGGCAAAAGCCCAACAAGCTCCACATACTTTGTTGCCCAAATTCTGCAAAGGGCGAAAATGTATAACAAAAAATCAGTGGAGAAGAATCTGAATAGGATAGGACTTCATTTAGCAATTAGGAACTAACATTTCCGGCTCATGCGTAGGAATACGTGCGTGCATAGGAAAACATATGATACATACCGACGGTGAAACTATCAAACCACGTATCTCGGTTTGCGACGTCGCAGACTTCCTGTCATACTTTATTTTTTAAATGAAAAACTACTTAACATCCAGTCTTGAAAATTTCTGTGATTTTTCCTCTTTGTGCGGAGAAAATTCCGTGAAAATTTCAAGGAATGATATTGATTTGGTCTACTTCAAAAAAATAAAATGTGAGCGTAGATTTTTAAACACCGCAAACGAGATACGTGGTTTGGTAGTTTCACCGTCGATACGTTGTTTTTAAGTAGAGCAAGGGATTGTAGTTCCTAATTGCAGAATGAAGTCCGATTATTTGAATTGAGAGGAGCGTGCGGAGCCGTATTCATAGTCGTTCCTTAAAGGCCCAGATACACCTGCGAGTTACAAGCGCTTGTTAAAAGTGAAACAACGATAGGCAAGGAGAATTTCGATAACTGGACGTCGAGCAATCGAGATCCCTGTCTCGTTTTCATGAAAATAAGGTGAACTTCGCTGTTTCAGCTATTTCAGTTATTTCACCTAAAAGAGATTAGACGAATTTTGAGGGAAACTCGATTTCGAAAATTTGACCCGTATTGCTCTCTTCGTTATCACGGCAGTGTGCAGGCCTCAAATACGGGAACCAATCAGAAATGGATTTGCACTGTCTTTTCTCTCAGTATAAGAACTCTAAATGAAGATGTTGCATGTGTGAGGAATTTATGCAGTTTGACTGTTGAATCTTATGTAAAAGTCAAATCGCAAATTCTTTATACATGCAACATCTCGATTACCTGGCTCTCGACGAAGGGATACGTTCTCAGCCTCGCGGTCCAATCCACCCTTATCGGGGGCGAAGAATCGCGGAACACCGGTCCCTTGGCACCACCCCTGGCAGGACTGTCAAGGCCCTTGGTGATCGGCGATGGGGGCGATGGACCCGGTTTCTCGTTGGCCCCTTTCAAGGCCCCAGAGCGCTTCGGTGTCAGGCGCGGGCCTTTGCTCAGCGTCTCCAACTCAGTCCTCGGGCTGTCCGCCAGTCTCAACGGGGTTTTCGTTTTCTCGGGGGCGGCGAACATGTCTTCGGCGGGGCGCCTGGGCGGGAGCAGCTTCGGGAGGTTTATGTCGCTCGGTTTGACGAGGGGTTTCCTGGTGCCCCCGCCCCCATTCTCGGACGGGGTGTTGGTTGGTGACCGGCGGCGGCGGGTGACCCTCGGCCGCAGGCCGGGTCTGAAGCCCGATACGTACAACGACATGAATTCTTTGCCTGAAAATGCGTGGGTTGAATTGGTTATTGATGTCAGTCGCGAAGCGGAAATGGGTTTGCTATCAATTAACTTTTAACGTTTTTCAGACTTTTTGTTCTTTTGACCCTGAACTACACTTAAATTCAAGGTCTCTGATTTTATCGATGACTAATTTAGTCATCCATCACAATAAGGAATAGTAACTCTCACGAGCAAATGAAAAGACATTTTCTGTATGTACACGGTTTAATTTAACTTTTCTTTTGTATGTACAGTACTAATCTATATAAATAAAATCGTTGGGGGTTTCACTGTAACGCTTATTTCTGGAGTTCTACCGGACCGATTTCGACGATGCTTGACTCTGGTTAAAGCCCTTGACGTCCCGATGTCCGCAAAATTTTCAGACTTCCAAATTTTTCAGCCTCTTTCGCTTGAGACGCTTTTAAAGCCAAATCCACCCCCCTCCGACCTTAAGTTTCCGAGAGTTGCGGTATGTTTCCGTTGTAACGCCTAATTTGAGAGATCTACCGGGGCGATTTTTACGATTTTTGGGTCGACCGCAAGCTCCTAGCTTCTAGATGCTCGCAAAATTGTCAGACTTCCAAATTTTTCAGACTCTTCTTCCTGAGACGCTCTTAAAGCCAAATCCACCCCCCTCCGGCCTTAAGTTCCCGGGAATTCGTTATGTTCCTGTTGTAACGCCTATTTTGAGAGATCTACCGGGGCGATTTTTACGATTTTTGGGTCGATTGAAAGCTTCTAGCTCCTAGATACTCGCAAAACTATGAGAATTTCCAATTTTTCAGCCATATCTGTGTAAACCGCTGAGAGATGCAAATAGACCCCTCTCCATATTACTACTACACAGCCTTCACCCAACGCCGAAGGTCAAACTCGGACTCTGTCCAGAGAGTACGGAAGGTTAGAGGCCCGACTGGATAGGGAAGAATTGAAACAGAAGTTGGAGCCGTGAGCAAGCAGTTGCGTACGTTGGCGCGAGAGTGCGCGGCGAGCGGAATCCCATACCACTGCGCTGATTGGCTAACAAAGTGAGAGTTGCGGACGGACGATGTATAAAATATTGCCTACGTGGAGGTGGTCCGGCAGCAACATACCCGCCGCTAGTCACTGGAAAACAATAGAAAATAGTAGTTGCGTAAGTCGCTAGCGAGCGCGCTGCGAGCGCTTCTGTTTCAATTACCTAGCATTGAGTCGGGCCTCTAACCTTCTATACCCTCTGGACTCTGTCTCAGCACTGCTCTGTCTGAATAAAAGGAAGCCGCCCCAGCTACGTGGTTCCATAAAACTGTCGAAGCGACGCGATGACATGGGTTTTCCCGTCCTTTTGTCTAACAACCCTCGAGCCCGAGACTGCTCGCTACGGGATCGCAGCCCTATTGTCTCATATGCCAAACAAAATCTGACCCTCAAAATTTAAAGACAGTAAAAATGCAATTTTTTCTATCATTCGGAAATTGTTTTTACAGAGTACATTTTTCGATTCGCGATGAAATTTTGAGCAGAATGGTGGTCAAACTAATGAAAATACATGATTCTACGGTACACTAAGATCGATACCACAACTGCTGCATTTATAACTTGCTGAACGATATTTCCGTTACTTATCAACATATCACGACGAAATTTAGTTCATTGTAATATACTTTTTTAGCAGAGCGTAAATTTACTGGGAAAGTTGAAATCGAACCCGATGAGAGAAATTTCATCAATTTTTTTGGAGCTCCACTAGGCCGAGCGGGAAGGGAAAAAAGGATGATGAATTGAGATCTATTGCTGTCGCCTGGTCTCCTGACTCCTGACTCATGTCCAGACCTAGCTATTCTTGAGCGCTTTGACGAGATTTTGTCGGCAGACAAGTCAAAACATAATTTTCCGACCAGGGAGCGACATCCAGACCTCGCGCTAATGCTCTCATTGTATTTTTATTGGAGTTATGTCCGCATATTTTGAAAAAAGCCGAAAATGGTCTCTTTTTTAAAGCGCAGTGTTTGCAATTCTGCCCTGCTACGGAAGAACGACATATGAACATTCGAGAGTTGCCAAATTTTCTTCGATAAAAAGTTTATTTTTGAGGAAAATTATGAATATTTTCCCCATGATATTTTCAGACGTTTTAGATTAAATTAACAACAAAATTATCCAAGAAATTGGTAGACAAGCATTCAAAAATTTTCCTGAAATTTAGTGGTTTTCTAGGGGAAATTTGGCAACGTCTGAAGACTCATACGGCGTTCTTCCTTACCACTGCAGAATTATGTTCGTCCCTCCCGTTACCCCTACATCAGCCACCTTTATNTGTTTGCTTTTTGTGATGTCGAGCTTACGACTTCATTTTTACCGTTTTTTTATTTTGATGAATAGGGTTGAACATTGAATCATGTCGGATCCAATGATTTATCTACTGTTTGGACTAAATTTGGGTGACAAAATTAGTCTCTATTTCCTTGTGTTTTTCATTTCATATTCTGAAAGTACCAGGTGAGCAGATAACGTGGTGATTTACAGCGTATTTATAGCTTCAGCTAGTGTCGCACGAGATAGAAACTGAACGAATTTCATTTTAACGCCTGGATGCAACTATTCGAGCTTCACAGATGTCTGTGTTGCATACGCAAGGAGCTGAAGGCATTTTGACTCCAGACACTAACTGCCTCATCAGCGCCGCCCAGGAGAGCTGACCAATGAGATGTGTCGTACAAAATGTGGGAACAATAAAAGCTCACATCCATTTTAATTCAGAACGTCTGTCTTAGAAGTGCTTTCATTGATTATCTCGTAAATATTCATCCAAGAAACACCCCGAACAATTCATAATATGAAAAAATTCACATCAAAATGTGCAATTATTTTGGTCCATAATTTCAACCTCTCCGAAAGACTCGTTTCGCTATGCGACGGGCTTTACTATGAGGATCTGAAATGACAGAGTGCATACCCGCCCTCCAGTTATACGGTGTAACATCTTAATGAAACACGGGATACGCACAAAGTATTACGTTTTGGAAAAACGACAAATGCGCAATTTGCGTAGTCCGATTCTGATTTAGTTAGAAGGATGCGCATTTGAGCAGAAAAATGTTGCAAATAAATATTTTAGGAGGCGGAAATAATTATTGGAGGAATGAGCATTCGTGACACAAAAAAGGCGATAATGAAATGTAAAATTAGAAACGCTATAATTGAAACATGATGAAAAATGAAATGATATGTCGATGCTGAAGTAAGAAAGCACTTAGCTACGTTGCGGTGTTTCAGAATTTCCGCGTCTATTTGATTTTTTCAAAGAGACACAAGCCAACTTCATAGCTGAGCTGTCTGCCTAGGGATCACTAATCACATTTCTAGCTTTAAGACAATGTTAGCTCAGCTGTGCAGTATTAGCTGTTTGCTTTTTGTGATGTCGAGCTTACGACTTCATTTTTACCGTTTTTTTATTTTGATGAATAGGGTTGAACATTGAATCATGTCGGATCCAATGATTTATCTACTGTTTGGACTAAATTTGGGTGACAAAATTAGTCTCTATTTCCTTGTGTTTTTCATTTCATATTCTGAAAGTACCAGGTGAGCAGATAACGTGGTGATTTACAGCGTATTTATAGCTTCAGCTAGTGTCGCACGAGATAGAAACTGAACGAATTTCATTTTAACGCCTGGATGCAACTATTCGAGCTTCACAGATGTCTGTGTTGCATACGCAAGGAGCTGAAGGCATTTTGACTCCAGACACTAACTGCCTCATCAGCGCCGCCCAGGAGAGCTGACCAATGAGATGTGTCGTACAAAATGTGGGAACAATAAAAGCTCACATCCATTTTAATTCAGAACGTCTGTCTTAGAAGTGCTTTCATTGATTATCTCGTAAATATTCATCCAAGAAACACCCCGAACAATTCATAATATGAAAAAATTCACATCAAAATGTGCAATTATTTTGGTCCATAATTTCAACCTCTCCGAAAGACTCGTTTCGCTATGCGACGGGCTTTACTATGAGGATCTGAAATGACAGAGTGCATACCCGCCCTCCAGTTATACGGTGTAACATCTTAATGAAACACGGGATACGCACAAAGTATTACGTTTTGGAAAAACGACAAATGCGCAATTTGCGTAGTCCGATTCTGATTTAGTTAGAAGGATGCGCATTTGAGCAGAAAAATGTTGCAAATAAATATTTTAGGAGGCGGAAATAATTATTGGAGGAATGAGCATTCGTGACACAAAAAAGGCGATAATGAAATGTAAAATTAGAAACGCTATAATTGAAACATGATGAAAAATGAAATGATATGTCGATGCTGAAGTAAGAAAGCACTTAGCTACGTTGCGGTGTTTCAGAATTTCCGCGTCTATTTGATTTTTTCAAAGAGACACAAGCCAACTTCATAGCTGAGCTGTCTGCCTAGGGATCACTAATCACATTTCTAGCTTTAAGACAATGTTAGCTCAGCTGTGCAGTATTAGCTGTTTGCTTTTTGTGATGTCGAGCTTACGACTTCATTTTTACCGTTTTTTTATTTTGATGAATAGGGTTGAACATTGAATCATGTCGGATCCAATGATTTATCTACTGTTTGGACTAAATTTGGGTGACAAAATTAGTCTCTATTTCCTTGTGTTTTTCATTTCATATTCTGAAAGTACCAGGTGAGCAGATAACGTGGTGATTTACAGCGTATTTATAGCTTCAGCTAGTGTCGCACGAGATAGAAACTGAACGAATTTCATTTTAACGCCTGGATGCAACTATTCGAGCTTCACAGATGTCTGTGTTGCATACGCAAGGAGCTGAAGGCATTTTGACTCCAGACACTAACTGCCTCATCAGCGCCGCCCAGGAGAGCTGACCAATGAGATGTGTCGTACAAAATGTGGGAACAATAAAAGCTCACATCCATTTTAATTCAGAACGTCTGTCTTAGAAGTGCTTTCATTGATTATCTCGTAAATATTCATCCAAGAAACACCCCGAACAATTCATAATATGAAAAAATTCACATCAAAATGTGCAATTATTTTGGTCCATAATTTCAACCTCTCCGAAAGACTCGTTTCGCTATGCGACGGGCTTTACTATGAGGATCTGAAATGACAGAGTGCATACCCGCCCTCCAGTTATACGGTGTAACATCTTAATGAAACACGGGATACGCACAAAGTATTACGTTTTGGAAAAACGACAAATGCGCAATTTGCGTAGTCCGATTCTGATTTAGTTAGAAGGATGCGCATTTGAGCAGAAAAATGTTGCAAATAAATATTTTAGGAGGCGGAAATAATTATTGGAGGAATGAGCATTCGTGACACAAAAAAGGCGATAATGAAATGTAAAATTAGAAACGCTATAATTGAAACATGATGAAAAATGAAATGATATGTCGATGCTGAAGTAAGAAAGCACTTAGCTACGTTGCGGTGTTTCAGAATTTCCGCGTCTATTTGATTTTTTCAAAGAGACACAAGCCAACTTCATAGCTGAGCTGTCTGCCTAGGGATCACTAATCACATTTCTAGCTTTAAGACAATGTTAGCTCAGCTGTGCAGTATTAGCTGTTTGCTTTTTGTGATGTCGAGCTTACGACTTCATTTTTACCGTTTTTTTATTTTGATGAATAGGGTTGAACATTGAATCATGTCGGATCCAATGATTTATCTACTGTTTGGACTAAATTTGGGTGACAAAATTAGTCTCTATTTCCTTGTGTTTTTCATTTCATATTCTGAAAGTACCAGGTGAGCAGATAACGTGGTGATTTACAGCGTATTTATAGCTTCAGCTAGTGTCGCACGAGATAGAAACTGAACGAATTTCATTTTAACGCCTGGATGCAACTATTCGAGCTTCACAGATGTCTGTGTTGCATACGCAAGGAGCTGAAGGCATTTTGACTCCAGACACTAACTGCCTCATCAGCGCCGCCCAGGAGAGCTGACCAATGAGATGTGTCGTACAAAATGTGGGAACAATAAAAGCTCACATCCATTTTAATTCAGAACGTCTGTCTTAGAAGTGCTTTCATTGATTATCTCGTAAATATTCATCCAAGAAACACCCCGAACAATTCATAATATGAAAAAATTCACATCAAAATGTGCAATTATTTTGGTCCATAATTTCAACCTCTCCGAAAGACTCGTTTCGCTATGCGACGGGCTTTACTATGAGGATCTGAAATGACAGAGTGCATACCCGCCCTCCAGTTATACGGTGTAACATCTTAATGAAACACGGGATACGCACAAAGTATTACGTTTTGGAAAAACGACAAATGCGCAATTTGCGTAGTCCGATTCTGATTTAGTTAGAAGGATGCGCATTTGAGCAGAAAAATGTTGCAAATAAATATTTTAGGAGGCGGAAATAATTATTGGAGGAATGAGCATTCGTGACACAAAAAAGGCGATAATGAAATGTAAAATTAGAAACGCTATAATTGAAACATGATGAAAAATGAAATGATATGTCGATGCTGAAGTAAGAAAGCACTTAGCTACGTTGCGGTGTTTCAGAATTTCCGCGTCTATTTGATTTTTTCAAAGAGACACAAGCCAACTTCATAGCTGAGCTGTCTGCCTAGGGATCACTAATCACATTTCTAGCTTTAAGACAATGTTAGCTCAGCTGTGCAGTATTAGCTGTTTGCTTTTTGTGATGTCGAGCTTACGACTTCATTTTTACCGTTTTTTTATTTTGATGAATAGGGTTGAACATTGAATCATGTCGGATCCAATGATTTATCTACTGTTTGGACTAAATTTGAGAATGTGTGAATTTCAGCTCTACTTCACTGACGCTAAAGCTAAAGCAAGCTGAAACCTAAACCGACGGTGAAACTACCACGGTGAAAGACCACGTGTCTCGTTTGCGGTGTTCAAAAATATCTCCTCATACATTTTATTTTGTTGGAGAAGATCAGATCAATATCATTCTTTGAAATTTTCACTGAGTTTTTCTGCACGAAGAGGCAAAATCACGGAAGTTTTCGACAACTAACGTTGAGTGGTTTAGGTGTTCGTTGCGAACACCCCTTTAATCGATCTTTTTCCATAGGTTTAAATGACAGATCAATCGATACATTGCAAAGCACGTCGCGCCACTGTACAGTGTCCTTTTTTTCTAACAGGGAGGGAAGGACCCCCATTCCACGTAGCGTGCATTCACTATTGGCGGATCCAGCAAATCGGCAACATTGTTTTCCATCCGTTTAAACATAAGGAAATGTATCGATTCTTGGAGGGGCCAGATACTCTGAGAGGAATCGATTATTTAACATAGGTTTAAATGGAAGGAGTCCAGTGTTGCCAAATTGCTGGATCCGCCCCTGTCATTCACCAATTCGAACGGTGTTCTTATAATTCGACTCACTTGTAAGATCGGTGAAAGGGCCAGGTCCATAAACTACGTTGCCTCTTCGTGTCGCCATGAGCCTTTCAATTACCTTAAGGTTCTCCTTGAATATGTCAAAGCGTAGCATTCTCTCCGTCGGGGATTTGTAACTCTTTCCGAATTCCATCATGTACTGCTCGAACTGCTGGAGCAATGTGCTAGCTTTCTCAACCTGTAAATGCACCGCGAAAAAGGTTTGTTCAACTGTTCGATTACTATTCGGTTAAAATGACGGAATGGACCTCTAGACAAGGTGCAAATTAGGGTATATCGACATAAATTTCCTTACCAAAACTTCACGTAGAATACGATTTGAGGGGCCTGGTGGACAAGGCGCTTGAGTGCAGTTTTTCCTCTGAAAAAACCCTGTCTTTAATACGTTAAATTTCTTTGTCAAATTTGGTACATGAATTTTTTAGTTTCATGACAACAGAAATGCGATCTGAGGATTTGAAAAAAATGACAAGGAGCTGAAATTATGGAACGAATTGATGCGATGTATCGCACGGCGCTCTGACACAAAAAATGGCAACCGTCGAATCACCGTAAGTCCCTCACAATGTCTACGATTTTCTCCCTCCACTATTTACGGTTGCGCTTTTGTTCTTAAATGAACAGAGCCTAAGATCAAAAGTACAAATTGAGAGCTAAGAAACAGTACCCAGTACAGCCTAACAGAAAATTTTGAAGATGACTTAGCAACTTTGCCGCATTCCACGTGGTATAAAATACGCAGGCAAATGTTTTCAGTCTTATCCAACTCTTCAGAAAAACGCAGTAATGACGCTGTAATGTACGCCAAAATAGCAAATCTAACTTGAAAATTACAAAAATTGCGAAGTTTTCTCTTCACCCTGCGAAATTGTCAATTTGCAGATACGCGGTATTGTTTCTAAGCCATCAAAATCTTATCATTATTGATAACCAGTAAAATTTACAAAGTGCGTAAGCTGTCATATGAGAATAGCAATTTTTAAGCGCTCAGCCGATAGGCAGCGCTTTTTGATTTCGACTTGCCTCTAGAGTACTAGTATACTAGTGCTAATTCGTTTAAATGGCGCACCAGCTCATCGATGTGCAGGCTTTTTGGGGGGGTCCAATTTTAAAATAAATAAAGCTGTGAAAACCGTATTTTACGCTTTTAACGTAATGCGCAGGTAGTTTCGATCGTTTGTCCATAAGAAAATGTCTGAGTGGTAGAGTAATTTTTATCGAAATTGATCGTTGAACTCAAATGAAGCCTAAAAAAAACGCGCCTGATGAGCTCAACGGTGGCTATCATTTTCGGGAAACGAAAAAACGCGTTTACGGTTTCCCTGGTAACCTTTGTTAGCTATCAGCTGATGTTTTATTTCCATTACCCAGCCAAGTCGACGGAGTTTATACTTCCTATCTTCACTAAATACATTGACTAAGTAACACCTGAGCGCTTTTCTAATACGACAGTATTAGAACTTTCCCGCTTGTTTGTTTTACTGAATTATACAAACGCATTGAGTGTTAGGTCAAATCAGATTTCTTACGATCTGTGAAGTGCAATGGGAGCCTCAACATAAGTCCGACAAACCTGGTGTGCGACCGTTTCTTTAAAGACATCTGCCACTCCACTTGACCATACCTAAACATGACCCAAACAAAAGGAGACACTTGCTTAATTTTTTGAAGACTCATACATAAATCGTCGTTTCCTAGACCAAAAAACGTCACTCTTCCCTTAAGTTTCAAAATTTAACTCATATCATTTAAAAGATTGTGGAGCGAGGAGGGCGGAAAAAACAACAATAGTAGTGACGTCCATAACTAAAGCGCCGTAACTCCTCTCAAGAGTTTGCACTCTTCTTCCACACATCGACGGTGTAAGTCGGCAATCACATAATTCGGCGGCGTTGCAGACCTCCTGTCATACTTTATTTTTTAGAGCGGCAATTCTTTAAAACTGCCATGGTTTTTTTTCTTAGTGCGAAGAAAATTCTGGGATCAAACTTCAAGGAATTATGTCAATTTGTTCTCCTTTTAAAAACCCTGCCGCTTTTTTCCGTGGGGTTGCCGGCAAGTAGGGGACGGTTCTTTTTGTAGTCCGCGCAATGGGCCTGTTGCAAACTTTTGCTAGAGCAGAATGAGGAGTTGTTTCCTAGAGATAATGCCTCAAAAATCACGATGAGCGCATCGGCAAAGTCTGAAATGCACTTACAAATTCACAATCTGCGTAAGAAATTTGCGTTATTTTGAGCTTCCCGCTTCAAAAACGATACTGCTGCACAGGTGAACATTTTGTTAGAGGAGTCGCTCCATCGTCGGCAATATTCATCATGGCCGACGCTTGCGCAGTTCCTCGCGTAATTCGAGGAGAGTTGAAGGTCAATTAAGGCGGGCGAGGAAAATATGAACGTAAACACGCCGATTGTTATCTGGTTTAATCCTGTTCAGGTGTTATCTCGTCCCATCACACGTGTTTTGGCGGACTGGCGTCGGCCATGATGAGTATTGCCGCCAATGGAACGACTCCTCTAACAAGATTTTCACCTGTACCGTAGTATCGTTTTCGAAGCGGGAAGCTCAAAAAACCGCAAATTTCTTACGCAGATTGTGAAATTATGAGTGCATTTCAGACTTTGCCGATGCGCTCATCGTGATTTTTGAGGCATTATCTGTAAGAAACAACTCTTAGTTTTGCTCTAGCAAAAGTTTGCAACAGGCCCATTACCGCGGCATGAGTGTATTTTCCGAAGGGTCGTGTCACATTGGGGAATGAAATCATTTACCCTACCCCTCTTGCCACAGATATGTTTCAAGAAACAGTTCCCCTTGGCTGCGCAACTCCTACCCCCCCCCTCACCCGTAAAAACGGTAAACTGCCACTATTATGGAACGCGTCGGCCGATTTCGCTGAAATTCAATAGGAAACCAGTAGATATCTAAGTACCATCAAAATTTCAACTCAAAATATTCATTTTTACTCGAGTTATCGCGTGGACAAAATTAAACCTCCCCCCACTTTGACCCCTCGCTGTGCGAAAAGTAATTAACGTATTCCGATTTTTTCTTCACAATTTAAAAGTATTCTTAGGGGACTATAAGCCCCAGAAGTTTCGTTTCAAGAAACTTAAAAATTAACTGCCGCTCAACGCTCTGAAAACCGAAAAATCCTCACGCTGGCTGAAATACATACATACATACATACATATATATAACAGAAAATGAATGACTTATATATTCGTGATCTACGACTCGAGATCGGTCCTCTTTACATGGTCCCAGGTCTAGGTCCCACCATGAGGGAGAACGCAATAGTGTATCTTTCCTTCGGAAAATACACTAAAAATGACTTAGAGGCGGAGATTTTCAGACACCGCTAACGAGATATGAAATGTGATTGCCGACCTACGCCGTGTTATTCTGTTAAGAAGGAAACCGATATCCATTCTACTCCATTTTCTCAGTTAGAGTTCTCAGTGGTATGCGGAAGGTATTCAAGAATTCTGAAGGATGAGTGCTTGTTAGATTTTCTGCAAAAAAGCATTTTTTTAAAAATGTTAGCAGGCAAACCTAATTTTTGACCAACTAGAATATCGGAGGCTATTTTAGAATATCACTAGGATATCAAAATCGGAATGAGTCGCTGCCATACATATTCAATCAAAGATTACGGACCAAATGGTTGATCATTATATCCTATTATTAATCGTAGCTCTGCTTTTTATAATAACATTTTCTTAAAACAACAATTACTACGGGCACTTACGTTGTGCTTTCCAGTGACATTGTTCAGAAAACTTAACAATAAAACTATTGATAGTAAATACATCCGCGGGAATGAAGAAGGTGCGGTATCCATAAAATATATCCTGGATTTTCACTCCTTTCCAAAACAACGTAAAGGTTGTTGAGCTCAAAGGCACTGGAAATTTACTGAAATCACGCGTCTGTCGAAGTCAATAATCGGATTACACATGGAAATATTGAGCCTGATTCCCTTTTATACTATGCTTCAATTTTTTCAGTGCTCTCTGGGATCGCGTGCTATAAATTAATGTGTCCCTGGTTCTAAATCCTATCGAGAGACTAAAAAACAACCAAACTACTGCATTTTTTATGTGAGTTCAGTGGTTTTAACTTAACCAGGCAGCGTGAGAGGCCTTGGGTAGCGGATTCTTCGAGATCAAATATCGTCGCCCCTCTGACGTAAGGACGTATCTCTAATTCCACATGAGCCCCAGAAAGCACAGAGTTATATAGAGAGCAGGGCTCACATGGAAATCGAGATACGGCCCTACGTCAGAGGAGCGACGATATGGTGACATACCGACGCGACACGTGTAAATATTCAAATGTTCGTCGAGTTCCGTAAAATTCGTACATGTCGCATATATGTACATATTTGCATGTTTGCGATGACGTACTCTTTAAATTTCTTCATTTCTTCATTATGCTCATTCTCTCTCCTCCCCAAACTTGAAATGAGCAAATTGAAAATGATACCAAAATTAAAATTGATAAATGGACTATACTTTGCAATTAAGAACTATTTATAAATCCCGGCCCGATTTAAAAACAGCGCATGTGCCATTAGTTTCTCAATGCACATACGTGTTTTTTCAGTTGAGACAGAATTTATAACTCCAAATCGCAATATGCAGTCCAAATGGTACTTCCAGAGTTGTCTGCAGAATCTTTAAATTAGTTTTTTCGAAGTTGAAGCAATTCAGTTCAATTCTACAATGCAGCGAAAGCATTTCGTTGGTGTGATTCGGCAATCACATAACTCGGTTTGCGACGTCGCAGATTTCTTGTCATACTTTATTTTTTAAATGGAAAATTACTCAACCGCAATTCTTTAAAATTGCCGTGATTTTTCTTGTCTGTGTTGTGTGTGTCTGATTTTTCTATTTTTGCAAGGAAAACTCCGTACATTTAAAGGATGTCTGTCATTCTTCATATGTAGGAGCGCCTTCATTTTCGTATGATACTGTGCAACACCTCTGTTGTGAAATAGTTGCTTGAAGTACCGCGCCGCGGCACGGCGAGTAATTGCTCATTTTCGGTGCTGAATTAGATTGTTTAAGTATGAGCGCAAGCAACTACCACGTTCTCCTTTAAATATGTTATAATGGATGTAGTGAAGATTAACATATTCGAATATGAAAGTGATAGTCCCTTGCGCTGGCACTTAAAAGTGAACTAATGTCGCTTTTCACAATCCTGACAATAAAAAAATATATGCTTATTCGAATTTCGTACCACTGTTGGGCGCTTCTGGGTACCAGATGCGCCCTTTCCAACCGTTCGACTCCCCCGATGTAACATGTACTATACTACATGCCCTTTTGCCTTATGGGTAATGACGCCATTCTGGTACACCCGGGAAAATTTGATTTTTTTCTGCATCTGGTATTCGTAAAAGTTTTCGTGAAATGTTTTGCTTTTAAGCATAACAATCTCGCACGAACGTATTACCTGGTTAAAGTATTTTAGGGCCTCCTTATGCTTTAAATACTTATATCCGAGGCAGTACTTTCAGATCGATTTGAAAATATTAC